GAAGGAACAAGATATTTCTAGAAACGTGGCGTGACACTAGTCACGTGACCTCGCTGACGCAACAGTATGGTATCTAATAAATTATATAGGTCAAAACAATTGTTTGGTACTGGTTGGCAAATTGTCTAACAACTCACATGCTTTCTGTAATGAAATAATTTGTTTACTCATTTATTAATAACATTGGTATAATAATATATCCGTCTAGGTTTGGTTGTTGACGAAAAGCTAATCAATGGGCTATGTGTACTCTGCCCACTACGGGTAACGAAACCCGATTTTTAGCCTAGTAATCCATCAGACTTACCACTGAGACATTAGAGGGGCGAACCGCCATTAATTCCGTTTGTTTGTTGTTTTTTTTTTCGTAATCACAAAGTTATACAATGGGCTATCTGTACTCTGCCCACCACAGGTATCGAAACATGATTTTTAGCGTCGTAAGTCTGCAGATTTATCACTGAGCCGCTGGGGGAGAGGGGGTGCTCCCTTCTAGGTTGGGTATCTGGCAGTAAATGTAATGATGTTTTATATTGAAGTATATGTTTATTGTTCGCAGTGTTGAGTTGGGTATCTCGAAAAGGTTACCCAACAGACTGCCCAACGAAAACTAACTAATATCGAGGACTGTGGCACATCACACCCCAATAGTTTCGCCCCTGTTCACAATTAATCGAATAATCCGCGTGACGTTGGAAATATGAGGAACATGGAAGAAAAAATTTAATATCAAGCGTTGCATTAAACAGGTACGTCGGAACATACGAAACCCTGGGGCAGGGGAATCGAAAATGAACAAAAAGTGTCTGACACCCAATAAAAGCGCTTTAAAATGTTATTCAAAAATTTCCCACAATAACAAGTACTGTACTGTACACATAATTCCCGTAGCGGAATTCCTGTTAACCAAATGAAATCGTCTGGCGATTATTAAACATTTATGTTATTCAAAAAAGGTTTGTGTCTGATGTTTTTCAGGTAGTCCAAAGTGTTCAATTCGTATAGTAATTGAGATTTGTTTCTCAGCTATAGTACGAAGTGTATTCTTCTGGTCTCAAAATTCTTTTTAGCCGCGGCATAAAGGCTCATGGAATTGCTTTGAGTTTTTTTTTTTTTTCAAATACAAACTTATAGCTCCGTCATCTCTTGACCGATTTGAGATTTAATTACAGTTTTGGACTCAGGAGGTCAAACCCTTTCTACGGATATATCTTATCACGCCCAAAGTCTCATAAATTAATTTACTGTAATTCTGCCTAAAATAATTTTAATTTGAGGGTAGGCTGGTAAAGATCCTGATGAGTAATAAAATCAAATAGGGTATACGCGCGCCCCACACATGTTATTACTTGCGCACATAAATATAGCTAATAAAAAGGAAAAAAAAAAAAAGGTCTCATAGATTAATTTACTCTAATCCTTCCTAAAAGAATTTCAAGTGCCACAGCTATTGAAAATTCCCTCTTGTTTTCTCTTTCAATAGACAACCTCATTATGGCTATTTTCACGCGATCACTAAATTAATGCATAATGGATACGTGCAAATACGTTTTGCTAATAAAAGCAGTGACATTCTGCGCGATACAATAGATTAGGTTATCAAGATGTTTCTCTACATCTGGACTCTAAAGCCACGAGAATGACTTAACAAGTTGAATTAAGCGTGGGAATGAATTGCTTCAAAAGACCTAATTTAAATGTTGTTTCGTGCAGTATTATAAATCAAAGAAATGGAGTAGTTGCTTACGAAATAAAGTTCGTGGAAATTTTGAGCTGTAGACGTAATTGTAATGATCACGTACTTTCCTGTCGTACCAAAAATATAGAAATATTTACGAACTTTTATTAATTTCAATTTATCTTATAACACCTGAAATAAAGTTTTGGGTAATGTTCCTGTCTTTATTTTCTCTGAAAATATACAAGTTGAGCATACTAAAATTGATGATTCAGTTGTACGTTAATTCTTCATTAAATGGTCTATAATATACATATCTTTAATAAAAGCGCAATGGCATACATGTCTAGATTATCAGAGCATTATGTGAATAATTTTAAATAATAAATATAGATATTCTCATCTTTAAGTTCCTGAATTTCATTACTCCAATACAACCGAAATGATGGATAAGCTTGAGCTTGACTTATAAAATTAACATATACGTATTGTTACGTATCTGCTTGTTTGTTAATTTCCGGTATAATTTCTTTCCGAGGAACTTCAGCGATACAAGTCCCTTCTTG